GAATAAAGGGGAATAATGACATCTCTGGATCTGCTGGCAATGCTCCTCCTAATGCAACCTAATATGCCATTAGCCTTCTAGGCTACAAGGGCACACTGTTGACTCATATCTAGCTTCTCATCCACTGTAACCCCAGGTCCTTTTCTGCAGAACTACTGCTTAACTGGTTGGTCCCCAGCTTGTAACTATGCTTGGGATTCTTCCGTCCCAAGTGCAGGACTCTACACTTGTCCTTGTTGAACCTCATCAGATTTCTTGTGGCCCAATCCTCCAATTTGTCTAAGTCACTCTGGACCCTATCTCTGCCCTCAAGCGTATCTACCTCTCCCCCCAGCTTAGTGTCATCCGCAAACTTGCTGAAAGTGCAATCCATCCCCTCATTCAGGTGATTAATAAAGATATTGAACAAAATGGGTCCTAAAACCGAACCTTGGGGCACTATGCTAGAAACCGACCGCCATCCTGACATCGAGCCATTGATCACTACCCACTGGGCCCGGCTTTCTAGCCATCTTTCTATCCATCTTACCGTCCATGTATCCAATCCACAATCCCTTAACGTGCTGGCAAGAATATTGTGGGAGACCATATCAAAAGCCTTGCTAAAGTCAAGGTATATCACATCCACTGACTTCCCCATGTCCACCGAGCCAGTTACCTCATCATAGAAGCTAATCAGCTTGGTCAGGCACAACTTGCCCTTTGTGAATCCATGCTGACTATTCCTAATCACTTTCCTCTCTTCCAAGTGCCTCAAAATGGATTCCTTAAGGATTCCTTCCATGATTTTTCCAGGAACCGAGGTAAGACTGACCAGCCTATAGTTCCCTGGATCGTCCTTTTTCCCTTTTTTGAAGATGGGCGCTACATTTGCCTTTTTCCAATCATCCGGGATCTCTCCCGATCTCCACGACTTTTCAAAGATAATGGCCAAAGGCTCCTCAATGACATTTGCCAACTCCCTCAGTACCCTCGGATGCATTAAGTCCGGACCCATGGATTTGTGTCCATTTAGCTTTTCTAAATAGTTCCTAACCTGTTCTTTACCCACCAAGGGCTGTCCATCTTCATCCCATCTTGCATCACTTAGCGCACAAGTTCCACGCCGCAGCCCCGTCGGACACTCTCTGCATACCTGGGGAGCAGGAAATGCCGTGAGTATGGTGTGGGGTATGTAGAGGGCAGGCGCGTGGCTTAGGCTTCGTGTGAGAGCCACGGCACATTCCCAGGTGGTTCGGAACAAGTGAGACCCTTGTGGAGAAGCAGGAAGCATCCACTGACGCTAGAATGAAACCTGCAGAGTTGATTAAGCTCGCAGGCTGGCTGAGAGGAAAGGGACATTTTGTTCACGCTGTTCACTCCACTGTGTGTCACCTGATTCTACTCACCCGTGCTGTTCTGTAGTAACGTGGGGCGTGCCTCAGTTTCCCTGGGCACTGCACCTGGTGCCCGGCTGGGGCTGGAAGTTTTGGGGGTGGCTTTCACTGAGGGGAGGCTGCCCCAGGCTGCCCTACCCAGCCTGTACACAATGGGCCAGGCTCTCTGTAACCTGAGCCTAGATGGGGGGTGCAACCAGGTGTCACCTTTTGCCTGGGAAGGGCACAGAGGAGGGGGTGGGGCTGCCTGCTGGCTTGGACTGATTGCTGGGTGTGTGAGTGGGTCTCTGCTGGCTCAGGGTACAGGGAGGGGGCCCCGGGCCCTGGCTCTGAGCCCCCCTCTCCTCAGGATGGATGGTGCTGGCTGCTCCTGGTTCCTGTGCTGACAAGTCTGTTCTACGCTGTGCCCCTGGGAACCAATAACCCTTCTGTTCTCCCTGCCGCGGGTGGGGGCGCAGGGCCCGGTGCCTCCCCGCCGTCCGTCACACAGGTGGACACTCTGCAGGGGAGACCACAAATGAGATAAGGGAGCCTGGACAGAAACATCAAAGGAGAATGGTGGCAACCCCCCAAGAGTAACACAGCAAGGACGGCAGCATGACACTGCCAAACCCACAGACTCCAGCGGGATCTCCCAAGTGTAAAAATGGGGGGCTCTTGCCAAGGGATGCTGGGTTCAGTCCTGCCATCCGTCCTGCCTTGGGGCTTCTGCTCATGTCCCGCAGAACCCAACTCTTCACTCCTGTTCAGTCTAACTGGCCAGCAGACAGCTCACAACAGACCGGTAACTCTAAGATCATCTACAGCAGAGATCGGCGACCTATGGCTCCCAAGCCAAATATGGCTCTTTTGAAGTGGTTCTGCAGGTCGAACTTAGCCTGACCCCACCCCCTGCCCTCCCGCCTGCACAATGGGAACCCCCTCTCCCCAAGACTGGAGCGCCAGCTTTGGCTTCCTGCGGGCGGGGCGAGAGAGAAAGCTCTGATAAGTCTTGCTCCTGAGTTTGGTTTTGGTGCTGTGTTTTGATGATTTCCAGGCTGTGTTTAAGCTCCTGAAAGTGATCCTGTTTTATTGATTCTGGTCCGTATGTCCTGGCTTGGGCTGATGGTGCTGCCCGATTATCATAGAATATTAGAACTGGAAGGGACCTCAAGGCATCATTGAGTCCAGTCCCCTGTCCTCGCGGCAGGATCAAGCACCATCTAGATCTAGATAGCTGCCTATCCAACCTGCACTTGAACTTCTCCCAGTGATGGAGACTCCACAGCATCCCTGGGCAATTTATTCCAGTGCTTAACCACCCCGACAGATAGGAAGGTTTTCCTAATGTCCAACCTAAACCTCTCTTGCTGCAATTTAAGCCCCTTGCTTCTTGTCCTGTCCTCAGAGGCCAAGGAGAACAATTTTTCTCTCTCCTCCTTGTAACATCCTTTTAGCTACTTGAAAACTGCTCTCCTGTCCCTTCTCTGTCTTCTCTTTTCTAAACTAAACAAGCCTGATTCTTTCAGCCTTGCCTCCTTCCTCATGTTTTCTAGACCTTTAATCATTTTTGTTGCTCTTCTCTGGACCTTCTCCAATTTCTCCACATCTTTCTTGAAACGTGGTGCCCAGAACTGGACACGGTACTCCAGTTGAGGCCTAATCAGTGCACAGGAGAGCCTAGAGTAGAAACATGTGGTGAAAACATGACCCTCTCTCTGCTCTGGGGATGGTGAGGTCATGATACCGGTCGTATTGTGGCTGCTTTTCAGTCCAATTTGCTGCCTTTCTCCAGTTTCCTTATGTGGATGTCATGTGCGACTGTGTCAAAAGCCTTGCTCAAGTCCAGGTGTCAAAGAAGGGAACCCCGTGGGATCTCTCTGGGGAGCAGGGCTCCCCTGCACCGGGGCCTCATTGCAAACATTGGCCCCTGGTAGGAAAGGGACGCTGGTGGAGATGGAGAAAGTGGGCCGAGGATGGATCAGACCCTGGCTCCTGTCTTTGAGGCCTGAAACGTAGAGCAAGAGAAGGCTGCCTTGACCTCAAGTACCAGTACTTCAGTCCTAAATTTGCTTCTGAATTCTCGCATGTGCCATGTAGCTCTCAAGTTTATCAGGTGGTTCCAACATCTCTTCCTTTCCTCTTGAATCTCACAGCACCTCATCATGTGACCTGCATCACGATTGGGCATCTGTCTCTAAAAACTGTGCTCTAGCTCGACCATCAGATCCAGGCTGGCGGCTGGCATCCCTGGGGGAGAGTCTCTGGCTGGGGCTAGGCAGGCAGCCAGGCTGGACAGTCAGATCCTCTCCTGGGCTTGCAACCACATCCACATCACTTCCGAGCTTTGTTCCCTCTCAGCTGGCAGGATTCCTTGCTCCAGTTTTAGAGGGCCAAGCTTTGTCAGGTACTACCTCCGGGAGAGCCCAATTGGCAACAGCATTGCCTAGTGTGTAGAGCAGCAGGCTGAGCCCCTAGCAACCTGGGCTCTTTTCCCAGCTCTTTGACACTCACTTGCTGGGTGAATTTGGGCCAATTGCCCCCCCTCTGCCTCAGTTTTCCCACCTGTGAAATGGGGAGACTGATCTTGCTACCTGAGAGCAGGGAACTATTATTTATTATTCGTATGTTCGATTTGGGATCCACCACCATTTCCAGTGTAGCCAATAAGAGGTATGGCTGAGCCAATGCCTGTAATTCCTGTGCTCTTTACAGTCCCCATTGGACAAGATCCCAGTGTTAACATGCTGGCTGGGTGTGCGGCTGTTTCCTGGTATTCCACGGGGGAAAGCCCCGACTCGCAGGAAACATCAATTCAGCTCAGGAAGAGAACTCATTGTTAGCCTCAGCAACAGGATGGGAACAGCCTCTAGCTCTGCTGCCAGGAATGAATGGATGGTGTTAAATGCAGGATGCATCTGTACCATGGAGAGTCTGTCTCTATGCTCTGACTCCGCCAGGAAGGAGACCGCTGAGCCTCACTATGCTGGTGGCAGCGGTGGGATCGGCAGTGGAAGGAAAATGGCTGACTCCATACCTTATAGCCAGAAGAGCCTATTTGGATCACATAGCTAGACCTGCCTGGCACAGGCCAGAGAACCTCACCCATCCTGTCTCCTCCACCCCGTGCACTGAGCCCAAAGCAGGCATCCAGAGATAATCTAGATGGTGCTTGGTCCTGCTGCGAGGGCAGGAGACTGGACTCGATGACCTCTCGAGGTCCCTTCCAGGCCTAGGATTCTATGACCCAGCCACTGAGAGATGGTGCGCTCACCCCATTCCTGGGGAATTTGATCCTCTGGTTAATCACCTTCACTGTTCAAAATGGGGGCCTGACTTCTAATTGGAGCACGTCTGCCTTGCACTCGCAGCTATTGATTCTTGTTTGACTCTTTGCTGCTACATTCAAGAGCCCCTTAGTACCCAGGGTTTATTCCCTGTACATACCGGGGCCATGCCACCTCTCGACCAGGTGTGGTAATAACACAAAGAAAGTGAGGCCTGTAAAACTCTCCATCAGGCAGTTTTCCAGCTTCAAATAATTGTTTGTGGCTTTTCTCTGCCCCTCTCCAGTTTTTCAACACCCTAAGGACACGATGTTCTTGTATCTACCTTGCTGATGCTGCCTGCAGAGGGAAAAAATACACTCCTGGCTCCTAAGGTTTATGGAACTCTTGGTACAGCGGGAATTCGCGTGAAGTTGCTCTTCCTCTGGGAATTGTGGAACTTTTCACAGGACATGAGACAAACCCCAGTCGAGGGTAGACCAAGAAGCTGAACGTGGGTCTCCCGTGCCCTACCTTAGCACCCTAACCACTATGCCAGCCTTCCTCCTGAAAAGCACCCCAAGGGGGTTATGTGCAGTTGATAAGCTCACGGCTGGCATAACGAAGAGAGAATGTTCTGTAACCTGTTAATGAAATGGATCTGTGCCTCAGTTTCGCTCTGGAGTTAGCATTGCTGTCCCCTGGATTCAAAAGGGATAACCCTGCTTCTGGAGAAGAGGAGGAGTTGTGAATGGCCTGGCAGCTGGGGTGCAACGAATAAGCCTTTAAAGAACTGATTGAAACTGAGCCAGACCCACAGAGGATCCAGAATGCCCTTGAGGTCCCTGGCGACTAAACAATCAACAGAGAGCATGGAGCCACTGAGCTCAGCTGGAGAACAAAGGGGGAAGAGGGAGACCAGGGCTGACCTTTGGAGACCTGGGCCTGAACTAGAGATGGAGGGTACAGCTAACCCTATGCTGACCATCCATTCTGGAAAATCCGGGACAGTCCCGATTTTTAATCTCCTGTCCTGGTGTCCCTGTGAAGCACTGAAATGTCCTGAAAAGCCCCGAGACTCCAAACACAGCTGCGCGCTGCTGTTTCCCCTTCTCCTTCTTCACTGGGGGAATAGGTGTCATGGACGCTTCCTGCTCAATAGGAGCAGCAGGAGGTGGGGCTTGGAAGCATGGGAAAGCAAGTGATTTGCGAGGGGGGCGGTGCAGGGAAGTGGCACAGGGCTCAGTCGGGCTGCAAGGGGGGGCACTGGGAACTGGTGTGGGGCTCAGCTGGGCTGTGGGGGAGGGGGTACCAAGAAGCCCAGTGGAGGGGGGCAGCAGCAGGGGGCCTGAAATGATCTCCCCTGGTCTGGAAAAATCCCTCATCTGGAACCAGTCAGGTCCTGAGGGTACCAGACCAGAGAGGTCCAACTCCCACCTCAAATCCCCTCCTGCTCCCTCCCCCTGGCCAGACACCCTTCCCTCACCCTGCTCCTGCATCCACCATTGCTCCTGCTCCCTTCCCCTGGCCAGACACCCTATTCCCAGCCTGCCTCTGCACCCTACCTGCCACCCAGACCTCACAACCTCTCCCCCTTCGTTCCATAAAATTCACCAGAAAAGAAAATCTGGCCTATGGGAAGCCCTGAGCACCCGTCCTCCCTGTCCTTTCCCCTCACCCTGTGGGGCTGCAGCACCGGAGGTGTCTAAGTTGGCGGCCACATCAGGGAGTGTTGGGGTTTTTTGGAAGAGTTTTTTTGCTTCTCACTTGTGTGGTCCCCAACTGATTTCTCTGTGACTCAGTGGCCCCCAACCCAAAACAGGTTGCCTACCCCTGCCATAAAGAAAGAAAACATTGAAACCTTTTATGTTGGACATAAATTAATATTTTACTTTATTTAAAATGACGTTTGATAAACTAACATGAGGAAAGTAAAATGCTTAATCTGGTTAATAAATTAAACCCTTCTCCCTATTTGCAGCACTAGCAAAATGGCTCGGGCGTAATTACGTAATTAGCGGTGGGTTTCCATAAGCAACTGGTGGTCCATGGAAAGGTTTACATTGAGCCAGGTGGTCCACGGGCCAAAAAGTTTGAGAACCACTGAAATAGAAGCAACCTCGGCCCCTCTCCTCAAGAAACCGAGGCGGGTTCCCTGCGGCTCCACAAGAGCCCACAG